TTGATTTTTTTTATGTTTTAAGTGTTTTCCTTTATATATTTATATATTTATGTAATTTTTGTAATTATTTATCTATTATTTCTTGATTATTTATCTTTCTAAATTATTTATTTCACCTGTATGGTAACTTAATATTTTACTTTTTACATGTATTATATGTATATTACATACAGATTTTTCAATTTTTTTATACTATAATTTTTTGTTTTTATGTAATCTCTTTAATTGATTTATTTTTTTTTCAATTGATTGTTTTTCTTTCTAAAACTATTTTCGAAAAATTAAAATTTCTGGCAGCACGGTATGGTATTCGCGTGTTGAAATCATCTTCATCTTCAGCTATTATATAGAATATTTATTGCGTGCGCCGCAGTGTGCATGCACATATGTACATATATATGTGTGTATGCATGTTTTACACCTGTGTTTATGGGGATTTATGAATGCAAAGACACGTTTGTAAGAATTGCACTTAAAGCGATTTCCGGTCCTATGCAATGCAATGCCACCCAAGCATGTTATGCAAATATATGTACTGTATACACATGTAAACAGATTGAATTGCCTGCGTACATACATACATACATACTTGTGTATACCGCAAATGTTTGTAAGGAAGTGTTTGTCGCTTACTGTTGCACTGCACACACATATATATATATATATATATATATATTTTCATCCATTTTTCTCTTCCGATTTTTTTGTTTTCATTTTTGTAGCATATCGTAAGGCGCTGGAGCACATTATTTATACTATATAGAGGTGCGAAAATGTTTTCGAAAGTATTAAAAAGTAATTTTATCAAACAACACCAGCAACAACAACAACAACAACAGCAACAGCCGCAGTGTGTTCGCTGAAATGTAATTTTGTGTTTTCCTAGGTATACATACATACATACTTACCTACCTACCTACATATATTGGTATTGGGTATAGTGAACGCCGAGAAATGCGCGAACTTGGCCGCATGCCAAACACACACATACATACTAATATATGTATGTATGTTGCATATCAGTGTTGCACGAGCTTGTGGTTTTCCTGCATTTTTCTTTTGGGTAGCTTGTACACAGTTGCCCCAGCTTTACCTTTACCGTTAGATCACATAAGTGTATACATATGAATGTATGCATGTATACGACAGAATGCACTTGATGAAAGTGAAAAAAAAAACGTGTGGCGATGTCAATAATTCCAACTAGAACATAAAGTAATTCATTTTTAATCAAACCTCGTTGGCTTGAGATTAACTGAGGCGACACTTTTTAATTTGCCGTCCGAAGAGACTAAAAGGAGCGAGATGAGAAGCGAAACTTTCCAGTAATTACACCGCTTACACCTAACATATGTACATGCATAAATAGTATGTAAGCACAGGAGAAGAAAGTAAAATTTCGCGTCTAAGAAACAGAGAATAAGTAGAGCTGTAAGAGGCTTGCTTCGTTGGCGACTGTGACTCCTTGGCACGATATATCGATAGGCGGTGCATAAAAATATGTGGCACAAAAAGTCAGAAGTAATTTCAAATAAAAATTTAAAGGCGCTTCGAGTTTCTAGTTGACATCTCGGTATAGTCTTGTTGTTGTTGATGTTGTATTGGGTGGGCAAGCCCACGTAGGAACAGCTAAAGTTGGCCAATATCAATATCGATGAGTTTCCCTTACGAAAAATCCAAGACATTAACTATTACGACGTGGGAGAAAGATGGTAGAAGAGTGGACTTTAAGGGCACATGTATAGAGGTGGACGGACGGATATACATACATACGTTGGGCATGCTAGAGCCGAGTCTGAATAAGTAAGAGTTTAGTCTCTTGCAATATCCAGCCTTCCAGGTGAAATATTATTGCGATCTTACGAGTTAGCTCAAGCTCTGCTTCTATAAAAGGTGTTACTAGTTGCTTCCAATAACGTAATTCACGGAAAATGAGTTGAGGGTAATGTGAATTGGTGTTTTGTGAATGGCGTTAAAAACCTGTCTATAACATGCGGTATTCTGAGGTGCTCCCTCGGAAAGAATGTTTAAAACGTAGAATATAAAATATTATTAAGTGAAGGCAGTCCATAAGCGACATTAAGAAGTTTACCGTTACGGCCCTCAATGAGGAATTTGCACCCAGCAAGCCCTCGGCGTCTAGCCGTTGTCTCTGTTGTTGTTGTTGTAGCGCCTAGCTAACACCGCCTAAAAGCAGGCAAGACTAATCTAAATCATCGAAGATATTTAAAGGAAGTTTCAGGAAACAGGCTGTTCTTCGGAACCGAGGATGAGGAGGCCTATTACATGAGCTGGTTTTAAGTGGACATGGAGAGAGCTGAAAGGGGCTTTGAAAGTTGAACTCATTGCATACACCACATAGGTTCGGTATGTCGGGATCAAATCTGCGCAGTTGGGAATTTAATCGAGGCAGCAGTCGTTAACCTTCGAACAAAGTTTATCAATATCCTGAGGAGACACAAAGTTCAAACCATTATTGGCTGTAGAGAGAGCAAGGGACTTCCCTAAAATGGTGGAGAAATCTTCGAATTATAAAAATTAAACAAGAGTGAAACCCACTGGAACAAGATTTCTTAACATTCGTATGGTTATTCCGTATTTAAAGAATGTACTTTCCAATACAGCATCTTACTTATTGAAATCCAGCCGATTTTTTCTCTAAATGGGAATTTGCATCATTTATGCAGTTTGCTTATTTGGTTTTCTTGTTGTCAAATCAGGGAAGGGCAACTCCGACATCAATCAATCTATCACTTGGCGGTAGAGTTTCAAAACTTTTCAGCCCTGTCGTAAGAGGCGATTGAAATCCAGAAGTTTCTGCTTCCGTAACATTAACCCAAAAAATATGTTGGTGAATATTTTTGCGGCTACAACAACATCAATCTGGGATAGCTGACCACACATTGAAGGCACATTTTCGGGGAAAGTTAGGTCGGTTTCCGGCAATGCATCTTGTGACTAGTAAGCAAAGAATAACGGACGAGAGTAGCAAGCGCAAATCATACTGAATTTCTAGGAAAAGAAATGGCATAAAATATACCATTGTGTGCTCATCTAAGACTTTGAACTAGAAATATTTAGTTATTTTAAGTTTTCCTATTCTATTTTAACCGCTGCACAGCTTTTGACATCAGGATTTTGATATGGAAACGGAAACTTATGTCTGCCTGCGAGCAATAATACTTAGTTCTGGGGTGTTACAAGTATAGGTTGATGTCTGTATGTATATATATATTATATATATGTGTGTGTATGTGTATGTGTGTGTGTGTGAATGATTAAATGTGTGTCCAGGCATGCGGAAACTTTAAAGTTTCAGTTAACTTTGCCTTTGTTTTCTCTTATATTTGCACCTGCGCACATAAAAAATTTCCAATTAATAGGAATTATATGGTTTTTAAGATTTTTTAAGAAATTTCTTAGCTCTAAAACTTAGATACTGATAAGCCTATTCTGTCGAGGTAACAAATTTTACTTTGGTATTAAAATTTATCGTTCAGTAAACTTTGTTACCATTGCGTATTCTGAGCTCACTGCCACCCTGTAAATTTTGTTACCAGCGAAAAAGTGTAAAAAGGCGTATGCTAAGAAGTTTGCGAGAAAAAATGGCTCTTTGAATTTGGAAGATAGCGTTTTCGTTCAGCCCTTTTTGTCGTTTAGGCATATTTTCCAAATTTTGTTTCAAATATTTATCATTTAACAAATTTTTTATTTATTTATTTATTTAATAATAATAACAAAGCATTAGTACAATAAGATTTCCATATCTTTTTTAGTACAACAGAGATAGTGTGAAGAATAAGTAAATATTACTTTACAGATACCTTAACAAAAATAATAATAAAAATAAAAATAAGTATAATATATAATGAGTTGAGTATGACAAAAACTTAAACAATTATTGAATGGTCAGTCTATGTTTGAAATTTGGCCTTTAAAATGCATATATATGTGGTTCTTGAAATTGCTTCTGTTTAATTTCCTCCTTAAATTAGCAGGAAGAGAGTTCCATAATCGACTAGCATTNGGCTGGCTGAGGTGCTCATATTTATTTAAAAAGTAAACTGACGAATATAAGCACAAATACAAAAAGATATACAAGAAAATCAGCTTCAACGGGTAGACAAACAAACAAACTGTCTCACTGAAACAATACCAAGAATTTTTATTTAAAATGCCACCGAAACAGTATTAAACTCTCGAGCGTAGACAAAACACGTCCGGCCGCAATGACTTCACTTCACAATTCCCCATAAATAAAATTTATATATTTTGTTGTGGACCGTCTTCCATTTCGATGTGAATATTCTTATTTTTTGCTTTATCAACTGGCAAATGAAGTTTGACATGGCCAAAAATACAGTGCTGCCAAATTTTTTTCATACATTTTAACCAGTTCGCCAGAATACAAAATTCAATTTCGGGTGTTAAAAAAAAAAGAAAAAAAATTTACTTTGCCGGTAACAGTGAGAATACCCTTGCTAATGTCAAAAATTCACTTGGCTTGGCTTTGGTAACCAAAATTTTAATCGTTTAACTTTCTTCATATTTAAAATGTTCGAGAGCACCATTCATAATTTGAAAATAAATATAAAAAAGCATTAAATTAACTGGTTTTCAATTGAAAAATCAATTTAGTTAGAAAATTTTCCACTGCCATGACACCATCACAAACAAAATGAATAAATTCAATTAAGTAAAGTACAATTGTTAACCATTAACTAAAAGCATTGTATGTGCATACATAAGTAACATCAGCTGACCAACTGATTGTCATGGACATAGTATGTATGTATATCGTCAAGTTGTAGATATGAGCATAAATGGCAAGTAAAAGAATAAATAATTACTTTTTCTTCTATATTCCGCAAGAACTGATAAACTTAAATGGCCTATAAATAAAATAGGTAGTTAATACCGCATATGTTTATCTTGGTAGATAAACACACATATGTAGATCCCTATTTGGGTGAGAGCTAGTGGAATGCAAAAATACTTACCACCATGGTCTTCCACTTGGGCTTGTGACATTTTATTTACCGCCTTTGCCGGTTCCACCAAAGTAAGTTTTTTGAATTTAATGAATTAACTTATTTAATAACTTTTTCTATCTAGTTATAACACTCTCTATTTATGTGTCTTGTTTACACTTATTTGTTGGGGATTGTAGGTATACCAATTAACTGATAAACTACGTTGCTGCCAAACCCGCGCCACAAAATAATTAATTAAAACCGCCTAAAGGAAAGAAATCACAGAGAATTTTTTTTGTTTCACAATTTATACACCAATGCGGCTTCCACTTTTAACGCGCTTTCAAGGACGTTGCACTCCTATTTGGACTGCGTCCAAAAGCTTGGCGGGTTATTGGCCTTTAAATTTTGTACGCAATCACGTTGATTTCGTATTTTGACGGCAAATTATTGCTTTTCATTCACCTTTTGATTGCCAAGGTTTTACAATTTTTCTCTAACAATTGTTAAAAACAAAATACCGCACACACTCACCAACGCCAATGAAAAACACAAATCAACTAAAATAGCTCCAAATTACAATGAATATCTGAATAGCATTGCTCCACTCACCCCAGTTTTTCTTTGTTTTAACATGACATTCGTGATGAAAATAAAAAACAAACTACATACATGGTTGCATTTTAACTAGCTAAACATTATTAAAAATAGAAAAATCACAAAATTATGTTAACAAATAATTTGCGAAAAATAAGATCCCAAGTTCTAACAGAAATTTGTGTTAATTGTTAAATAAAAGTTTGAAAAAAGTTAAACGAAATATTTCAAAACGAGTCATATACTACAATTTTTTTTTAAACTTGACAGTGCGATTTCTCTGCTCATAATTCAGCTCTCTGAAACACTTTCATTTTGCTTATTTTATTTAATTAAATTCAATTTGAATAATAATTGGGTTTTATTGAAGATTAATTGAATTTTTTAAAATTTAGAATTTATCGAGGCTTGTGCAAACTATGCGCTGTGTAACTGAACGCACTCTGCTGCTATTACAGCCAACTTACCTCTGGCTGCAGCAACGAGTAGGTTATTAGCGAGTAAAAAATTCAAAATGGTCGCCCTGTTTTGTTGAGTGCGCGAAGAAAATTTCTGCTCCGCTTCAGAACTAATTATTTATCAATTGAAAAGGAAGAAATTAATAAAGTTTAGTGAAAAACATTCAATATATTCCATACTTTCATTACAATATAAAGATTTCGCGCAATTACAACAAAACAGTGCAGAAATACTGTGAGAAATAACACACCACAACTTCATATCGTGCGCAAAGTGTATGTCAAAAAAGAAAAAAAGAAACGAAAATTGTTCCCCCATCTGCCTCTAAGCATTTTTCGGTGCACAGCGACGGTGAAAAGCAAACAAGCGAAAAAGTATTGAGTATTGAACGTATATGCATTGAGTGTGCAAATAGCAACGGGCGACGAGAAAACAGTTTTCCTAATAATCTTTGTGTTATGAATAATATTGATATAAAAAATTGATTGCTTAAAATTCTTGGAAGCCACGAGTTTAACCAATACAACCAGAGCCAGTGTTTTACCTACAAAAAGTGAGGGAAAATCCAATCAAACAAAAGAAAGAAATCGCGCTTCCAATCAAGCACGTCTTCAAAGTAAGAGAACAAAGCACTTTAAGTGGCTTACCAGCGTTCAGCAGGAGGGAAGCGGTCAAGCATAAAACAGCTTTGGATACGCCGCATTCCTCCTCGCCATTAGGGCGGAGCAAAACGTTTAGCAAATATGGATTAATAGCAACTACAAATGCCTACAGAATTTACTTTTTATTTTGCAATTCAAGATATACTATGTACATATATGTATATATTATTTAAGTGTTACTTTTGTGTATGTCATGTTTGAACTACGTCATTGTTCGCACAACTATTTGTAATAAAAGCACAAAAACAAACATCATTATTAAACAGTTCGTATGTAGTTAATTAACATCGTTTAGAAGCATTTAAGTGAAACTCTTAACAAAATTGTGCAATTGCCATATAGTCAATAACCTAGATAAATTGACAGTATATCTAACGTTAATACTTCAAAAAAAAAAAAAAAGTTGTATAAAGTGGCCATTATTGTGGTTTTACTTATCCCTCATTCACATACATTATAATCAGTGACGAGACAAGAGACATTGTTATCGGAAACGCATAGAAAGCTGGCTGGAAGTTAATAATTTCATAAACGCAACAATTACACAATTCGTCAAAATTAATGGTAAGTAATATTAAAATTGAAATGAAACAAATAAAAAATAATGTAGTCGACGGCTGTTAGAAACTTTGTCACATAAATCAATGAAACGTATACCCTTTCCTATATGTATTTTATATTTGCTAATGTGTGCCAATGTGGAATATCTGCTCATGTTTGCACATTTTCTATTATGACTTCTTTCTCCACTCGCCGCATCAACCCGCCGCTATTAAAGTGGCAGTCTGCCCACACGTTTCCCACATTTAACTTGATGTATGACGATGATGCCCCTAAAACTCATGCAATTACCCAACAGTGTGCAGGGAGGGATGTTGATTAGTGCTATGCCCAATGCGGTATCCGCGGTATAAATATTCCGTGACATTTTGATGAAAGTGATGATTGGTTTTCTCACTTTTTATTTTTTATCGCGTGTGGAAGGTGGGCGCACTTAATTTGTCAATTTATAATTGATGATTGAAGGTGAAAAAAATGTTTAAAGCTAATTGCTATTATAAAAACTGGTCGAAGTGCTAGCATTTTTATTTGCACTTCTAGTAAATATTCAAACAAAAATTTGGGCACTGTTCAGTAGACATTGTCACCAAACCCTATTCTCACGGCCATTTATACAATCAGTCACATTTACATTTTTTTTTACAAATACAAATTTTATTGGTACAGCAACAATTCATTTCAAAGGCTAATTTGTCAATTGACAACTTAAGTACATACTTTTGGGTAATCAAAAATAATTGCAGTAGTTTATAAGTAGTTATAGACTGTCGCTCTTATCTCTTCCATGGACAGGCCATAGCAATAAGTATGAACAGAACAAGTCATACATACATAAACACTAAAAGTTGTACTTATATTTGAGAATTTCGTTTAATTTATTGCTGTAATCAGTGCTTTAATCATCGCCACTTGTATTTCAATAAATATTATCTTAATCGACTTTCAAGATAACGTTTAAATTTCGATAAAGACACTAATGTTTTGAAATGCAAAAGTATAAATGTAGCGAAAAAGTATTATAGGTTGAAAGAAAAGCGTTATCTCTCTAATAATATAAGTAGGTACATGGTGAACGTACATTCATCAATATTTCCTACACACGTTTTACTTATTATATATATATATGTACATTTACCGGGACCACTTTGTAACCGCTGAAGAGATTTTCGGCCGAGTTCCTGCTGCAATTTGTAGTCTTGCGTCTTTGATGTTTTCCCAACAAATGGTGGGTCCTGCAGTTTATAGTAAGCCGCCTACAAACTGCTGCTGGACTTTTATGAGGATTTTCTATTTCGTCTTCTAATTACACTGAGTTTGACATTCCCTGCCGCGAGGCGACCGAAATTAGGGCTATTGATTTTCGCCCACTTTGGATGTTGGTCGAACCAGGACTCGAACCCAGGCCTAGAGTATTACAATACTCAATACTATAAACTCGACTCTGGCGGACGTTATATTGCAATTTATATATGTACACTCACATATATATTTAATAATTATTATGTTACTTAAATACACGTTTTATCGCCACTTTAGAGCTGTTGTTAAATTATAATTGATGTAGCTATTGTATTACAACAACAACAACAACAACACTATTGCCACTTAACAACGTACTTGCTATAAATTTGATTGCTTTCTCAATTTCAAAAGGCAAGTAAGTCAATTCGAATTCTCAGGGCGATAAGTTTTGGTTTATTAGTGTTGTAATTATTGAAAACTGCGCGCATGCAACAACAAAATGCTTATATATGGTATTGTATATTCTACAAACATATGTATGCATGAATGTAATGTGCGTTTACTAATGCACATACTTCATATGTACATTTGTAAGTATGTAGGTACATAAAAAATTTGTATAGAATGAATATTATCGGTTTGATTGCTTGTATTCAAACCCAAATAGTAATTTGTGGCATTTTGTTAAACGAAAAGTGATGCTTCTTAATTGATTTAAATTGTTTTTTACTTTATAACATTGTATAGCAAATTACTTATTTATGTGTGTGTGGCTTATACTGTTAGAAACGAATAATAAAAAAATAATAATATAGCATACAATGGGTGTTAAAAATACGTAGTTACACGTACAAATGAATATATGTAAAACTTAAATATGCGATTTCGTTCCCAATTTCTGCTTAAGAATTTTTTTTGGCTTAGTGTTTTTTTTTCACAGGTCACATGGTTTTATTTTCTGTGGTATTTTACTGAACAAAAACTTTTTCATTAAAATATTGTTAAAAGGGTAAAATATATAATATATATTTAGTAGTATTAAAGAATTTAAAAAAATAAAATAAATTGAGAAATATATAAAAAATATAAATAAAAGATGAAAAAAAATAAATAAAAGATGTAAAAGCCATAAAGAAATGAAAAAACTTAAAATAATATTAAAAATAGAAAAAATTAAAAAAAAATTTGAGGAAATTTGAAAATAAAAAACATTTGTACATAAATATAAAAAAATTAAAAAAAATATGAAAAATAAAAGTAAAAAAATAAATATATAAATAAAATTATATATAAATAAATAAAATTTTATGTAAATAAATAAAATTATATATAAATAAATAAAATTTTATGTAAATAAATAAAATTATATATAAATAAATAAAATTATATATAAATAAACAAAAATAAAAAAAAAATTAAAAAAAAAAATAATAAGAAAAACAATAAAAAAAATAATAAAAAAATAAAATAAGAAAAACAATAAAAAAATAAAATAAGAAAAACAATAAAAAAATAAAATAAGAAAAACAATAAAAAAATAAAATAAGAAAAACAATAAACAAATAATAATAAAAAAATAAAAAAATATAAAAAAAATAAAAAAATAAATTAANAAAATAAATAAAAAAAAAAATAAGAATAAAAAAATAAAAATAAAAAAAATAATATATTAAAAAAAATTTAAAAAAATAAAACAATAATAAATAAAAAAAATAAAAAAATAATAAATAAAAAAAATAAAAAAATAAAAAAAAAAATAAAAAAATAAAAAAATAAAAAAAATTAAAAAATAAAAAAATAAAAAAATAAAAAAAATAAAAGTAAAAAAATAAAATTTAATAATAAAAAAATAAAAATTTAAAATAAAAATATACTAATAAAAAAGTAAAAAATTAAAAATAAAAAAAAATTATAACAATCAAAAGATATAAAAATAAAAAAATAAAAAACTAAAAAAATAAAAAACTATAAAAATAAAAAAATTATAAAAATAAAAAAATTATAAAAAAAATATAAGAAATGAAACATTTATAAAAATAAAAGATTTATAAAATTCTAAAAATAAAAAAAAATATAAAAATAAAAAATATAAAAATAGAAATTTATAAAAGAATATTATAAAAATGTTGAAATTTTAAAAATTAAAATAAAATACATAAATAAAGTCGACAAAACCATCAAAATATAAATAAAAGAAAATAAAATATAGAAAAGTTATAAATATTTAAATATTAATTATCTCTTGATAATAATTTTTTAAATTTTTATTTAAATTATAAAATAATGAAAAATATTATAAAAGCAATAAACGTAGAATTTCGAGAATAAAAATGAAAAATCTAAAGAATTTGAAAATAATAAAATATTAATAACAAAGTGCTTACAAACAAACTGTCTTAACAAAAAAAAAAAAAAATAAATAAATAAATAAACAAAATTAGAACGAAAGTTTCTCAAAATTAAAAAAAGTTGAAAACTTTTTAAAACAATTAAAAATAAATTTCGTTTTAAACAATAAAAGTAATCGGCGGCGGATATGTATGTCCATATGTACAGAAAATAAAGACAACCTGAATTGCTGCTTTCAACTTCCAATAAACAAAAGTTTGCAAAAATTAAAAAAAAAAACAACTATTGAAAGACTTTAGTTTGGTTTTTTTGTCTGACTTCTTCATTAACAGTTAAATAAAGTATGAAGCTTTTGGACAATGACACCCACAATACGCAGGATTTAATTAAAATAAAAAAGAAGAAAAAAGCAACTGCCGCCTACACAAATTAAAAGACATGTACAAACATTTTTACATGACTTTGTATGTCTGTATGTATGTACATACTTTTATCATACACTGTATGTACGCGTAAATGCGCAAGTAAATTACTATAAGTGAACATTTGTATGAAATAAACACTTCTCTACGCTAACACGCAAGTTACAAACATATGTACATACCTACAGACATACATGAACGATATTTGTACTAGTATAAAATATAATATAATCTTTTTTAAGTACCAAATAACTGAACGGTCTTTAACAATTAGCACACAACGATAAATAATATATACGTACATACATACATACATACAGACATACTTTAATAAAACGCCACTCACATTCAATTATTAACATTATAAACTATTTAGTAGCTAATGTGTTAACGGGGGAAGGCAGAACGGGGGGAAGGGGAGGGCGTTAGCAGTAATTTGTGCACAAATTAACATGCTTCATTGTGTGAATCAACTAAATGAGTAAGTAAATGAATGAAAGTATGAAACAGTGAAATTGTTGTGTATACTGCCGGGTTTGCGCGTGTGCAAGTGTGTGTGTGTGTGCAAAGGAATGAATGAAAGTGGCGAAATGCCAAAAAATCACAATTTACAAAAAGTCAATTGTGAGAAAGCTTGCTCGAGCTCTAAAGCACTTGCACGCCTACATATCTATGTATAAACATACATACATACTTACATACATAGACACAAGTATTTGCCCCGCCTGCGGAAGGTTGACAAGCCACAATTTGTTTTCAAAGTGTTGTTACACGACAATTTGAAATTCCATTTGGGAGTGCGCAACCACTAAAACACGGCATTTATTACAAACTAAATCTGCTTACAATAGCTTTCAACTGCGTACACAAACATTTCCGTGCCCAAGGCTTAGAGAGCCTGTGGCTTGTTGCGGCTCGAGCGGTTGGGCTGTCGACTACACGGGATATATGGTGACCGGCCTTCGCTGGTGAAGCGTTCGTATGTGCGAG